GTTGTATATGAGCATGTCCTGTTGTATATGAACATGTCCTGTTGTGCATGTCCTTGGATGTCCTGTTGTATATGAGCATGTCCTGTTGTATATGAGCATGTCCTGTTGTATATGAGCATGTCCTGTTGTGCATGTCCTTGGATGTCCTGTTGTGTATGTCTCCGGCGAGTCAGACGAGTGGCCATGTTTTTCCTTCTCCACAGTGTGCAGTGAATGAAGAGCTGTTGTTTGTCTAAGACATTGACCCCTGTGATAAGACTTGGCCCGACCTGTGATAAATACTTACTGTAGTTATCTCTTTGTACAGTTCAATTTTCATATTTGTTAAAATTTTTATTGTTTCTTTGTTTTTATAGAAATCTTTGAACCAATTCCTTAAACGAAATCTGTTGCTCATTTTTGTGAGACGGTGTGGATGTTGGGGAAACGTGTCTTGAAATTGATCAGAGATCAGCTGCATTTTCTCTATCTCTCCCTGCCTTCACTTGATCACTGTTCTCTCTATCTCTCCCTTCACTTTATCAACGTTCTCTCTATCTCTCTGTACCTTCACTTGCTGTTAACGGACAGATGGTACCAAGAGTCAGATGAAAACATTGACAATAATTAACTTGATGACACCCAGTGATTTTTTCCTACGTGTTGTATCACAATTTGTAATTTATTGAATGGTAGACGTTGGAAGTCTACATGGGCACAGTGGTAGACGTTGTACATGGGCACAGTGGTAGATGTTGGAAGTCTACATGGGCACAGTGGTAGACGTTGTACATGGGCACAGTGGTAGATGTTGGAAGTCTACATGGGCACAGTGGTAGACGTTGGAAGACCACACTTCCTCTACCGAATGACGAGGTCGACTGTCCGTGTCATGTGTGTGACCTGTATGGTGACTGTCCGTGTTTAACTGGACGTATGATCTGACCCAGTGGGTCTTTCGCCCCTGGTGGTGATTGCTGGGTTTTTATGTTAATTAATTATCTGTGATCTTTCTACTTCTTTTTATGGTAATTTGTTATCTGTTACTTTCTACTTCTTTTTATGTTAATTAGTTATCTGTTACTTTCTACTTCAAGTGCTATTTCTGGTCCTTGTGGAAGAGCGACCTTTGAGCGTTATGTGGTCGTGCTACGTCACAACTTGCAGTGTCGTTGACAAACCTCAGCGACCTTTG